AGAAAAGCCACTGGGTCCTCAAACATTGTGTGTCCCCTCTGGCGACTGGGTGTCTTTGGGACATTCCCATCTGTGCTCCTCAGAGCCCTCTGCTGAGGGCCAGCAGCTTCTGTCCTCACACGCTGACCTGGACCATGGGGCTGTGTCCTCTCTCCTCCCTATTCCCAGCATCTTGGCCATACGGCCGCATCATCCCCATCTGTTTGGGCATCTCAAGCCATTGCCAGAGCTCTAGTTGAGGCCAATCCTGGAGCATGGCAAAGCCTCAGGGCTCTGGTGGCACTTTTGGCCATGCCTCCACGGAGCAAGAGAGAGGCAGGCAGCAGGGCAAGGGTGGAGGTTGGCTTTGGGTCACCCGCTTCTCTGCTTGTTCAGTCACCTGCAGCTCGAGATGAAAGCCGAGAGGATAAAACCACCATCAAATGTGAGACGTCCCCCCCATCTTCACCCAGAACACTGCGGCTGGAGAAGCTGGGCCACCCTGCGCTCAGTCAGGAGGATGGGAAGAGGTACGTGGAGCACCCTTGGGTGCTCTCACAGCAGCGCTCTGTTGGTTTGAGGATTTACATGGGGCAAGCGTGGGGCTGCGGGGCGGGCTGGGGTTTGCCATGGGAATAACCTGAAGGCTTTGCTGTTCCTCTCCCTCCTCCATCCCCAGCTCGCTGGAGGAGCAGGCCAGCAACCCCAGCAGCAACAGCAGCCAGGACTCCTTGCACAAGGGCTCCAAGAGGAAGGGGATCAAATCCTCCATCGGGCGCTTGTTTGGGAAAAAGGAGAAGGGTCGTTTGATCCAGCTGAGCAGAGAAGGGGCCACGGGGCAGGGTCCGTGAGCAGCCCCATTCCCGCGCGTGCCGGGCGGGTGTCCTCGGGCACAGCTCCTCTCTGCCATCGGGGTGCTGTTGGGGTGACCAGTGGAGGAGCAGGGACACCCCTGTTGCTTTGGGGATGTTGGGGCCACTGGCTCTGGGCAGTTGGCTCCTGGAGTTTCTGCCTTGTGGCCGTTTCTGGCCCAAGCGTGGTATCACTTGTAATGCTCTGCAAGAGCTGCAGTGAGGACAGTGACCCCCCATCACTGTGTCTTATCTTTGATGTCCCCAAATCTGCTTCCCTCCCCATAGGACCTTCTTGATTTTGCAGAGCCCGTTGGTAGGAGCTGCTTTTCCACTCCTAAATCCTTCACTACTTTGATGTTGAGCATTTTGGAATGGGAGGGATGACAGACTGGGATCCCCTGGGGTTATCCAGGGACGAAGGGGGCTGTGAGGGTGGGTTGGAAGTGGAGACTGTCACCTCCCGTGGTGCGGCTGTGCATCCCCAACCCCCTGGCATGGGGGCTGTGACATTGCCCACACTAGCCCTGGGGACGTCCTGCTGGCCCAGGGGATGTCACGTTGACCTGAGGGTGTCTTGCTTGGCCAACAGTGCTGCTGACTGACATGGAGGTGGGCATGCAGGACCCTCTGGGGCTTGGCAAGTTGGGTGCTCAGGCCGAGAAGGATCGTCGCCTGCGGAAGAAGTGAGTGAACCCTCTTCCCTGCCCCAGCAAGGAAGTGTCCTGCCCGATGGCTGAGGAGCCATGAATGGGAATTGCTGGAAAGACTTCTCATCCTCACCCTCTCTCAAGCCCTGTTAGCTCCTTTAGTGCTGTGCTCCCAGCTGGTTCTCACTGCCCACGGTCTATTCCCTTTCAAGAACTACTTCCTTCCCTACAAGTGCACAATGAATCACTCTGCTTCTGTTCCCTCCAGGCATGAACTCCTGGAAGAGGCTCGGAGGAAAGGATTGCCCTTTGCTCACTGGGATGGCCCCACTGTTGTCTCCTGGCTGGAGGTAAGGCAGAGCACACCCGTGCATCATCTCCAGGCACTGATGGCTTTGCAGATGCTGCTGGTCTGTAGTGTGTTCCCCTGGCGGTGGTACAGCACCCACAGTGCCACCATGCTTGGTCCACGCACATGGTTGGTGGTCGCAGAACCTGGGGATGCAGAGCAGATCCCCAGATCCCTCACATATTCCATTGAGTTGTGGTTTGAGTCGAGCTTTGAGTTGAAATGCTCAGTGGGTGCTTTTTCCCTGAGCTGCATCCATCAGATCTAGTGATGCTGGGCTGCCCACGGGCCATCTGTGCAGCAGAAAAGGAACCCCATGAGGCTCTTCAGCTTTGACGCTAGGTTAGATCTAAGGCGGAGGTTCTTCCCTGGGAGGGTGCTGAGGCTCTGGCACAGGGTGCCCAGAGAAGCTGTGGCTGCCCCATCCCTGGCAGTGTTCAAGGCCAGGTTGGACACAGGGGCTTGGAGCAACCTGCTCTAGTGGAAGGTGTCCCTGCCCGTGGGTTGGAGCTGGAGGAGCTTTAAGGTCCTTTCCAACCCAACGCATTCCATGATTCTGTGATTCCAATAGGAGGCCCTTGATGCTGGCGGGGGAGGTGAGGGGAGGTGACCCTGGCACTCACTGGCTGTGCCCTGTTTTGGCAGCTCTGGGTGGGGATGCCGGCCTGGTACGTTGCCGCGTGCCGAGCCAACGTGAAGAGCGGAGCCATCATGTCGGCCCTGTCCGACACGGAGATCCAGCGGGAGATCGGCATCAGCAACGCTCTGCATCGCCTCAAGCTGCGTCTGGCCATCCAGGAGATGGTCTCACTCACCAGCCCCTCAGCACCACCCACCTCCCGCACGGTAAGTGCTGGCCCGTTGCCCACCAGGGGGTTGGGCAGGCATGGCCATGGAGGGGTGATGTTCCCTCATGGACCGCTCGAACCACCAGACACTCGGCCTTAGGCGCAAAGATCATTTCTGGCTGTTGAGTGTGAAGCACTTTCCTGTCCTGAGGCACCAGCAGATGCTCTTGTCCTCGCTCTCAGAGGTTGTCAGCAAGAGGCTGACCCTGCTGAGCAGCCTGCAAAGAGCAGAGCTCAGGGGCTGCCTGCCCTGGAGAGGAGAAGCCCATCCAGACAGCACGTGTGTGGCTCACAGGGCTGGTCGTGCGCAGCCGTTTCCTCGGGCATTGCAGCCTTTTCCTGGGACTATGTGAAATCCCTGGTGCAAGTGGGAGCACCTGCAGATCCCTGGATAGGACATGGAGTGGATGGAGGGATCATGTCTTGTGCTGGTTCCCAACCTCCTGAGGGTTCGTGGTGCCCCAGTCGTGCCAAGAAACATCTGTAGCAATGCAGCCAGCAGAAAGAAAGGCCCCGAGCGTGCTGTGTCCCCCTCAGATGGCCGTGGCTGGGGTCACAGCTCACAGAGACAAGCCTGCAGGCTCTGTGAGCATGACACCAAAGTATAAAGGCAGCCAAAGGGCCTTGCTGTGCTCTCTGTGCCTGCATAGACAGACCAGGCTCCTCATGGGTGGTGAGATGCCACCAGCCTGAGCTGCAAGGAGGCTGCGAGATGTCCCCAGTGCAGCTCCAAGCACAAGGGTGGCCCAATCCTCTATCAGCTGCACCGGGCTCGGCTCCAGCATGGTTGCGAATGAGGCCCTGGCTCTGTGGGGCTTTATCCTGACCTCTCTGCTCTTTTCCCTGCAGTCATCTGGAAATGTCTGGGTCACCCACGAGGAGATGGAGAACATGGCAACTTCCACCAAGACGGTGAGGCTGCGCAGCCCCGCTGCACAGCGTATCGGTTACTGCGCCGAGCTCCCGGTGTGCATTAACACACTAACCCTGGGAGAGAAGGAGATCTCTGCTGCATCTCATGTGTCAGCTCTTGGCCAGCACCGTGCAGCTGCTTAGAAACCATCTTTCAACCTTTAATAGCCAACAAGTTCTAAAACTGGCTTAAAACCCATCAGATGCATTTGCCTTTGCTGAGCCCCTGTGGGTTTCTAGGGTAGCTTGGCTGTCAGTTGTGAGTTAGAGGAAAGAAGTGAAAGACAAAACCCAAGAGTGATCTCAAAACAGATGCATGAGCTTGAGGCCTACATTGATCATTGTGCACCCAGAAAAGCCACTGTCTAAGCTCTCATTGACCTCAGCACACCCAAACATTGTCCCCACTGTCTGTGCCTAGCACTGGCTGATAGCCTGGGGTCCCTTGATGGGATGTGGCTGTGCTCCCAAAACCTCTAGCTCCTCCAGAGAGATGTAGCCACGCTCCCCTCTGTGCAGCTTAAAAGACCCCGTGTGCATGTCTCAGAGCAGGGGCAGCATTTTGGGTTTGTTGTTGTGTGAATTAGGCATTTTATTGCAGCTTTTGTCTGCTGGTTGAGTAGCACAGACCTGTAACCAGAGGGAGTCTTCTGGGGAAGGAGAGCTCAGAGTTGCAGCAGGGAGATGACACTTTCCCTTGGTAGGTTTTGTGAGGTTGAGCAGCACCAGCACAGGTTGACAAGGGAGGAAATAGCTACAAAATTGGATTGGGAAACCTCTCTGGGGGTTGGGACCTTTGAGCTGAAGCTTAGGTTTCTGTCTGCATCCATCCATCTTTGGGGACACAGGAATTATCATTTGCTACCCGCATAGGGCCATGAGGATGATTTGAGCTGGAGCACCTCCTATGTGAAGACAGGCTGAGAACATTGGGGTGTTCAGCTGGAGAAGAGAAGCTGGTGGAGACCTCAGAGCAGCTTCCAGTGTCTGAAGGGGGCTACAAGGATGCAGAGAGGGACCTTCGTCAGGGACTGGAGTGATAGGACAAGGGGTGATGGGTTCAAACTAAACCAGGGGAAGTTCAGGTTAGATCTAAGGAAGAAGTTCTTTGCTGTGAGGGTGCTGAGGCACTGACACAGGTTGCCCAAAGAAGCGGTGAATGCTCCATCCCTGGCAGTGTCCAAGGCCAAGGTGTTTCCAAACCAAACCATCCTATGATTCTATGGTGCTTCCCAGGAAAGATGTGTGACCCTGTGTGTCTGCCACTGTGCCTTTATAGCTCAGTTCATGGTGCAGAACCACCAGGCACTGACTTGACTTGTCCTTTCTATTGACATGCTGCATGTGTCACGCTTAGGACACAGAGGAAGGCAGCTGGGCACAGGTGAGGTCTCCGTGTCCCCTTCTCCGTGGCGGTACGTGGGGTGGACGTGGATGGGAGGGAGAGCTGGACACTATGGGGTGCCTGGAGATGAGCTTGGGGCATCAGTATTCACCACGTCCTTGTTGGTGTCTCAACCTGCACCCTGTGGTTGCTCCTCTGAGCCATCTTCTAAGTGCAGGTGGTCCTCCTGATGACACTGGGGACCAACGTCTTCTGCTTCAGGCAGAGTGACTTCTTTTGGGACCTCCTCTGCAAGATCCTGAGCCTGTATTAAAACCCCCACCTAAGAGTGACCAGCCACCCTGCATGGGAGTTTTCTGGCTGCACAAACATTTGGGTTTCACCTTTTTTTTAGCCCCAGGTTCAGGATATAGACAATTTTCCTGAATGGAAAAGATGAGAGGAAAGAGTCCTGATTGGAGCCATCTCTTCTGCTTTTGTCACTCTCAAATGACTTGTGGTGGATTGTATTTCATTTTCAGACCCAGAATCAGCTTGCAGTGAAAGGCAACTGATGCTTTTCTGGCCCAAACTGACCTTTTGTTGCATTTTGAAGTCATAAAGTAGATCTTTTGGTGATTTCTGAGCTTCTTAAAAACCAGTGTGGGATGCACTGAAACCTCTGTCTTGGTTGTTTCCAGAAGGAGCTGGTCATAATGCCCAGCTATCCCTACACTTGTTTTTGGCTACTGCCTTGTCTCCTTGGGGGGCATCAGTAGGACACAGACCATGGCCAACAGGACCATTCCCTTCAGCACAAAGTAGGGTTAAGCTCCTCTGGCCTGGGTTTGGTCCTCAGGACAGGGACCACTAGGCTGCAGCACTGAATTGTCACTTGTCTCCTGGAGGCTGCAGCTCCACCAAGCCCTGGTTTCTCTCTAGCTTCTCCCCTTGCTTCCCTGCAGACACTGGCCTATGGGGACATGAACCACGAGTGGATTGGGAACGAGTGGTTGCCCAGCTTGGGTCTCCCACAGTATCGCAGCTACTTCATGGAGTGTCTCGTCGATGCGCGGATGCTGGACCACCTCACCAAGAAAGACCTCAGAGTGCACTTGAAGATGGTGGACAGCTTCCACCGGTGAGTCCTCTCCTCTGGGAGGTCCCTGGGGTGCAGAGCCTGCGCAGGGAGCACAGGATGGGGCAGTGTGAGGGATTCTCCCCTGTTTTGGCCAGCTCTGGTGCTGGAGGTTGGCTCTTCTAGGCTAAACCCTGACCCATGGGGCTGTGTCCATGGACCTGCCAGGTCCTCCCTGCTCCTTCAGCCTGGAGCAATCCCCATGGGCTGGTTCTCCCTTCCCTCTCCAGCCACCAAGCATGGAGTGTCCTTATTTGGATCCAGACAGGTAGAACATGGTAGAACTGGTGGCGTTGGGAATTACCATACGAGGGAGGGACATTCCCATTTTCCAGCTGAGATCTTCCCTTTGGGTTGTGTCTGTCCTGACTCACCCCTGAACTGAAGCATCCTTCAGGCACAGGGAGGGCAAGTAGGGAAGTGGGTCCCTCCAAACCACGTGCCCCACGATGCTGAGCCCTCCTGAGGGTTGGTGTCATCTCGTGTCCTTGCAGCACGAGCCTGCAGTACGGCATCATGTGCCTGAAGAGGCTCAACTACGACCGCAAAGAGCTCGAGAGGAGGCGAGAAGAGACCCAACATGAAATCAAAGGTCAGCAGCCACATTACACCATCCAGCTCTGGAAAAGGAGATGAGAAACCTCCCAGGAGATGCCCAGGGATGGTCCTTTTCCTATCCCTTATTTTTCACACAGCATTTGCCTTGGGAAAACCCTTATTTCTGAGCAACCATGCCCCCAGTGGGGACCTCCCTGCAGTTTTCCCCAGTAGATTGCTCCAAGTGCCTTTGTGCAGCTTTACTCCATGGGGAGGGAAGATGTCAAGACAGAAAAGAGCCAATCTGGCCATCAGATCATCTCCTGCCCATTTCAGATGCTCAGGACATGGCTTGCTCAGCCTCCCCTTCCTCACTGCCTGTCCTGAGATTCCCTGCACATCTGCCTGCTGCTTGGATTACATCTCATTATTGATAATGCCCCTAATTACAGCAGCAGCCGGGGGTTCTTAGGATTAATTTTCACAGTTGGTTTCTGCCTGTTAGCTCAGCATTCAGCTTGGTTAATGGAAGTGAGCTGCTCCTGGCATTGAGCACCCGGTATTGATGCTGGCTTGGGAAGGAGAGTCCCAGGCTCAGCCTGGGGCAGTGCAAAAGAGCTCCAGGACACCATCAGGTCCCTGCACAAGCAAGAGCTGCTCTGAGCTGCCCCTGAGACATGACCTCACTCTTTTGCAGACGTGTTGGTGTGGACCAATGACCAGGTCATCCACTGGATCCAGTCCATCGGGCTCCGCGAGTATGCCAACAACCTGGTGGAGAGCGGCGTGCACGGGGCGCTCCTGGCCCTCGATGAGAACTTCGACCACAACAGCCTGGCTCTTGTGCTGCAGATCCCCACGCAGAACACCCAGGTGAGAGCAGCGACCTCAGGGCACCTCGGGGGAGGGCGTCCAGTGTGGGGCACGGCTGCGGGGGGACTCCACTGGTGCCACCAGCTCAGCTCTGTCTTCCAAAGCAGAGCGCTGGGATGGCGCATGGGCTTTTTTCCACTCATTCTTGGGGTGGGAGTTTGGGCTGGAAACTGTTTCCATCAGTGAGGAATGCTCATTTGTGGTTAATTTCAGGCTCGACAAGTGCTGGAGAGGGAGTTCAACAACCTGCTCGCCTTGGGCACAGATCGGAGGCTGGACGATGTGAGTCCCAAATCTCTCCCATGTCCGAGTCATGCTGAGAGCCTGCTCTTGTGCAGGGAACAGGAGAGGCAGGACCTCTACTCACTCCATCCTTGTCCAGGGGTGTCAGATAGTGTATCATGGACTCTTTAGAGCAGTTGCATGAGCATTATCACTGGAATAAGCTAAAACTATTAGACAAGGCCCCAGGGAATGTGTTGCCAGGCTGTAAAGGCAGGCGAGGAAGAGTCTTGTGCATCATTTCAAGCTTCATGCTCAGAGAGCTGAATTTCAGGTAGCCTGACCTGGCTTTCCTTGCCTGCTGCTTTAATATTGCCTTTTAGAGCCACAGATGTTCTGAGCATGACACATCTGCAGCGGGTGAAGCTGGTGGGTTAGAGAAGCCAGAAAACTGTTCATATTGAGTCACTAAAGGTGGGAATTCATCTACCTCTCTCCTACGTGTAGCTTTCCTCCATGAGATATGAGAGCAGAGCTAGTCAGGGCTCTCTTTAGAGCATGATCTTTAGAGCAGATGCTTCCAGATGCCATTATCTGACCAAGGTCGGATGCATCTCTTGGCATCTTCACTGGGGTTGTGTGTTGGTGTCTCCAAGGCACCTTTGCAGGCAGGACAGAGAGAAAGGCAAGCTGGAAAGGCTTAAAGTCCATGTCATGGCATCCCGGCGAGGTCTCTGATGTCCTTGGCCCGATTCACTCACACACTTCTGCACTGTTTGAGTCGGTCTCCGTGTACAGGCACCTTCTACCTTGTTGGGCAGAAGGAGGTACCTCAGGAGGTGCTGTTGGGTCCGTAACGGGCTCTTCCCCTGCAGGGTGATGACAAGACCTTCCGCCGCACCCCATCCTGGCGGAAGCGCTTCCGCCCGCGGGACGTCCACAGCATCAACATGCTCAGCGGCTCCGCTGAGACCCTGCCCGCCGGCTTCCGCGTCACCAGCCTGGTGCCGCTGCCCCCTCCAGCTGCCCCTGCCAAGAAGATGCCCCCAGAAGGTAGGTTCCTCCCCCTCCACATCACACCATGGGGTGAATATAGAATCATCAACTCACAGAACCAACCAGGTTGGAAAAAGACCTTCAAGTCCAACCATTCCTCAGCACTACCAAGGCCACCACTAACCCCTGGCACTGAGGGTCTTGGCTACACAGTGTGTGGACGCTTTGGGGTTGGTGTGCCACCAGGAGAGGAGAGGGACAGAGTTGCTGATGCTGATGCTGAATCTGTCTGGTCCTTGAGCTATAGATGGTTTTTCAGGAGGGTTGCTTCAGTCTCTGGTCCACCATGACAAGGGAGAAGGCTGGACTGGGAATGAAACGGGAATGCCCATGGAACTAGATGATCTTAAGGTCCTTTCCAACCCTAACTATTGTATGATTCCATGTGTGTCACTCACCCTGGGTTGGGCATCCAGGTCAGAGCCTGCTGGGGTAGCACTGGGGGCTGTCAGGAGTCAGTCTTGTCCATCCTGCCTTTTGGAAACCAACCCCAAAGGAGCTGAATTAACCAGCTCAATTCAGTCCAAGCGCTGCTGAGCACCCACTTTCCCGGGGCTGGTGGGCCCTGCTTTGACACGCCTGCTGCCTGTGCTGGCTGTGGTGTGTTTTAGCTGTCCCAGGCTCTGCCCAACCACCACACAACTCCTTTCTACCAGGTATCTTGGTCCCTTCCAAAGATGTAGGAAGGCACAAGCTCCAGCCAGGTCACCCCATTGTGTCCCCTGGGCCAGGCACCCTGGTCCCACTGTCCCAAGGCACCTGCCAGTGGTGCAGAACAGGCTTCAGCAGGCTCAGCAGTGAATGTGAATGAGAATTAGAGGGTTACCCTTTCACCTCCCAGCTCCAGCCCCTGGGCTCAGCTCTCCTCCTGTCTCCAGATTTGCTCAAATCTCAGTTTTCCATCCAGTGGTTTGACCTTTTCCACCCCATTTCTGGAAGCTGCAATTCCCACCTAGCAGAGGGCAGTGAGACCTGGGACAAAACCCAGGTCTGACAGGACCCAGCCATGGGAAGTTCACTGCTTGTTGCCCAAAAGCTGGGATGGCAAATAGCAGCTTCCCGAATACCCTGGAGCCTTGGGAGCACCAGAGGTGGCCAAATGTGCCTCTTCCTTTGACCCTCATCTTCCTGTGGCTTCAATGCACAGATGCTGCCTAATAAAGGTGGGAAGCTGAGGGCTAATTGGGGCAGTCACTAATTGCAAGCTCTGCTCTTGACTCACTTCCAGTTGGTGCCTCTGGGTCGCCAAGGCTGGAGACCTCCACGGTCCGGACGTATTCAAAAAAACCAGCCCGGCCCTGGGTAAGTGGATTGAGGCCTCGGAGCTGGATGGGGCCCAAGAGGAGAGCACGAGGCCTCTGCCCAGCAGCACCCAGGCAGCGTGTCTGCCTTCGCTAAGGTTTGCCTTGCCATGGAGGACCACGGAGACCTCGGTGGTGGGGGACAGCCTGGGGCTCACAGGACACTGAGATGGTGCAAAAGAGATGTCCAGCATCTCACCCACATATGGTTTGGCCAGTCCCTGGACAGGCAGCTCCACTGGGGACCCCAGGATGCCATCCTAGATGTGAGGGTCCAACTGGGGTGACGGAGGGATAGGCAAGCACTTCAGAGAGGCTCCTGGGATCCTGCTGTACCCTGGGACATGGTTGCCCTGTACCAGGAGGATTCATTATTGACTCCACGTGGCTTTGTTGACTTGCGGGTGCAGAGGTGGAGGTGAGCTCCCATCCTCACATGGCCTTTCCCACTCTGTTTCTCAGCACATCCCCACTCTCCGTACGGCCACGTGCTGGCTGCCTTCAGGACAACAGCCCAGCATGTTCCTTGGCCCAACAGGCGCTGCAGTCTCGCTGCTGTGGACCAAAAAGGATGCTCTCCCTTCTGCTTGTGCACCCCACCGCCTCCCCCAGTTCCCCATGGCTCCTGCCTGTGGCTTGTTGCCCACCTCTCCCCGCACTGGCTGCGGATGCGCTCGCTGGGTGCCTGCTCCGTCGCTGGCAGAAGCTGGTGCAATCCAGGGGAGCAGCAGAGACACCCCAAAAGTGGGCTGAGATCTTTGGAAACCTTTCTCCTGCCTGGTTCATGTTGCCAATACACCGGGGGCTGCTGCACTGACCTGCCCGAGCCCTGGACATCAGGGATGCTGCTGCCCACAGGACTTGAAGCCAAGGAAGATTCAGGCTTGTGAAATTCCTCACGCTGCCGGGCACGGAGCTGCCCCAATGGGGACTGGGGCCAGTGCCAGGGTTGGTGCTGCATGGGATGGAGCAGGGACCAGCCATCGTCGGGGACAAGGGGGTGACTGTCTGCCTAGAGGTGGGCAGCCGGGGTGCTACAGTTTGGGGTGCTGCCAGATGCCACATGGGGGGAGGCTGCATGGGGAAGGGCTGGAATCGCCCCATAGGGCTCACTGCTGGCTGGGGCAGTGCTCAGCACCCATGGGAGAAGGAGCACAACGGGGGCACCCACCACCCCGGGACATGCCCATCCTTTCCCCTCCGGGTACAGAGGAGGTGCTCTTCCCCCCCTGCCTCCAGGCTACGGGCAGGGATCTATCCAGGAGGCTCCAACTCTTCCCATTTCTTCCCCGTAGGGTAGGATCTCTTCGTCTCCTCATGCCACGTTTGCCTTGTGTGGCCCCTATTTCTGATGTGATATTTATTGATGGCTGGAATGACCTTATACTTATCATGTGCTGTCTGGAAGTGCAATACCTGAGAGGCTCAACAGTCACCATGTCTTTTCGGTGTATTATTTGCCTAATACAGTATTAAATATTTTTTTAAGTTGAAGAGTCAGTGAGCCCTTTATATCGAGGCCCTATTTCTTTCGTCATATTATTGGTACTGCATGGACTCCAAACCCTGGATCGGGTCAGGAAAGGATGTATGTGTGTTCCAATAAACAGGATTTTAAAGCAGTGCTGGCTTGAGCCTTCTTTCTAGAGCCCAAATTAAGAGTAGGATTAATCTTTAGCTTCCCCAAGAGTTCCTGGGGTGCAGGGCTGAGCTCCACTGAAATCACTGCTTTCTGCAGGGCTGATGTAAGTGTGCGACGTCCAGTTCCCACCACTGAGCGACCACACTGAGATCCAGCTGATACAGAGGATCATAGAATCCCAGCCTGGTTTGGGTTGAAGGGAGCTTAGAGCTCCTCCAGCTCCAACCCCTGCCCCGGGCAGGACACCTTCCACTAGAGCAGATTGCTCCAAGCCCCTGTGTCCAACCTGGCCTTGAGCACTGCCAGGGATGGGGCAGCCACAGCTTCTCTGGGCACACTGTGCCAGCGTCTCAGCACCCTCCCAGGGAAGAGCTTCTGCCTCAGAGCTCATCTCAGTCTCCCCTCTGGCAGGTTCAAGCCATTCCCCTTGGCCTGTCCCTCCATCCCTTGTCCAAAGCCCCTCTCCAGGTTTCCTGGAGCCCCTTTAGGCCCTGGAGCTGCTCTAAGGTGTCCCCTTCAGGAGCCTTCTCTTCTCCAGCTGCCCCAGCCCAGCTCTCTCAGCCTGGCTCCAGAGCAGAGCTGCTCCAGCCCTCGCAGCAGCTCCGGGGCCTCCTCTGGCCTCGCTCCAGCAGCTCCACGTCCCTCTTGTGTTGTGGCTTCCAGAGTTGAATGCAGTACTCGAGGCGAGCTGCAGTTCTGCAGTGAAGGAAGCCCTGAGCAGTCAAACAAGAATGCCTTTATTTAAAAAAAACCATCCAAATAAGTTAGCAAAAATAGTCATTAAAAAACCCCAAAACAAGAAATGGCAACTCCACACAGCACTGGTAGAAAAGCCGCCTCAGTGCTGAGCCCAGAGAGACACCAGCCCCGGAGAGACATTGGTCGAAGAGCATCTTGGAAGGAAATCAGCAAGCGAACCCAGCACACGTGTTGGCCCCCAAAACCCAATGGCCCTGGATGGGTCCCTTGTGTGACCCGGGGCCGTGGCACTGCCCATATCCCACCTCTCCCTGGTGTTTTCTCAGCTGGCCGAGCAGGAGCGTTTCACCGGGAATGGGAAAGAAGGTGAGTGGTCTCAGTGGTGCAGTCCATGATGCCGGAGGGGTAAATATGGTTTCCAGTGGCTGGAACCTTCTGGCATCTTATTCCCACCCCATTACCAGCTCGAAGAGCCGCCAGGGTTGGTGACAGCTCAGTTTTGGACCTGCTCCTCCTGGAACGTCACGGCCACGTCCTCCACAGCAATGCTCTCCACAATGGAGGAGAGGGAGTGGAGGTTGCGGTCCTCTGCTGTGTCATCAGCCAGGAGGTGATCTGTGGAGAGCAAGGGGATGATGGTTCTGTGGGGATGAGGACTCTGCTGGGGACAGCTCCTGGCTCCACACAGGGTGGATCCAGTGATCTCCCAACAACCAGAGTGAGCTGGAAACCGCTCCCAGGTCCCACCATGGGGGATGATGAGACCTTGCACTGAAGAGGGCAACAGGGAGTGAAACCTCTGGACACTTTCTGAGGTTTTATTCCCCATTGGAAAATGAAACTTAAGTTTCTGCTTTCTGGAGGAATAAACATGTGGATTTGGATGGGGATCACTGGAATAACGGGGAAAACGATCGGCAGCTGCAGAGGGGACATGGGGAGGGAAAGGGAGTCTGAGACGGAGATGCTCAGTGCACAGCAATGCCCAGCACTGCAGCTGGCAAAGATAAGCCAAGGGATGGAGATGGGTGAACCCTTGATGGGGCACCCAGGCTGCTGCAGTGTCTCACCCCCTAAGAAAACATTTCCTGGTGAAATCAGACAGTGGGAGAAGCCTGAACTCACTCAGCATCCAGCCAAAGAGGTGCTGGAGGATTTATGAGTCTGGGGGGAGCTCATCTCTGCAACAGTGGGGTGGGAAGAGAAGGACAAAGCTCCTTTTATCCCATCCTCCGATCATCTCCTGCTTGGGGGGGGCTGGCTCAGCAATGCTCTGCTCCAGGGTCGTGGGTCCCCCACTGCTGCCCCCCATTGCAGAGCCCAGTGAGGTGGGGAGGACCTGGGTGAGGTGGGGAGGACCTTACCCGTGGGGTTGGTGCCAAATTCCAACTGGCTGCTCCACTCGGGGCTGCCGGATGAACTGCCAGACCCACACTCGCTGCCCACCTGCAGGGAGCCAAGATGTTGACCATGGGTCTCACTTCTCCAGCCCAGCCAAACCTCCCCAACCACCCCAAAAGCACCCCGGGGAGCCCAATGCCCTGTGGAGATGGGGACATCCCTCCCCATCTGCAAAGGGGCTGGAGGAGTCGACATCATTCGGCATCCCCATGACCCATTGGGAGGTGCTTCGTTAAAGGTTGCAAAAAGTCCTTTTTGGGCTCTGGACACAGGAGGAATGGGGCCATCCTCTCACTGCAGGTTAAAAAGGTGTCTCTTCACCCAGTGATGATGAGAAAGGGCTGGAGATGGATGAACAGCCTTGGGAAAAACAGCATCCCAAGGGGATTCCTGGGGAATACCTTTGGGCAGTTTGATGTGTGGGTTTGAAGCTAAAGGGCTGTTTCAGAGGGAAGAGCTGACAGCCCAAAAACTGAGCCTGTTACTCAGCAAAGCTATGGATTCACTTGCTTTCTGTGTGTGTGTTTACCTGGAAGGATGCTGGCTCACGTTAAACCCCAGGGATGCAACTGTTTGGACCAGCCTTGAAATAGCACTTTGGGTCTATAAGCTCAGGGCAGCACCAGCTGATGAATGAACACTTGGATTTACTTCCCACCAAAGGAGGGCTCGGAGCAGCAGTGACATGGACACTACTCAGCGAGGGTTTGGGCACATTTGCAGGGGCAGCCACAAATCCAGGGAGTCAAACCCAAATGCACACATTGGGTTTCTACTGGGAAGTCCCAAGAATATATAGGATGGAGCTAAAAAGCTTTTTCAGTTGTTTAATCAGCTGTAAATGTTGGGCTGCCCGGCTGCTGGTTTGTGCTTAAATCTGTTCATCTGAAAGGAGGTGAGTCTCTGTGAATCCCTCTTTTCTGTGCCTCATAAAGTCTATATCTGCATCTATATGTATATCTTTATCTGCATCTATACGTATATCTATATCTTGCATCTATATCTATATCTATATCTATATCTATATCTATATCTATATGTATCCATACCTATGTCTATATAACTATGTAACTCTAAATCTATATCTATATAACTATATCTATCTATATCTAATCCATATGTCTATACCTACATACCTATCTCTGTATCTCTATCTATACTTATATCTCTATATATCTGTATCTTTATCTCTGTCTCTATCTCTATATCTGTATATCTTTATCTATATATGTCTATATCCATATCTATGTATCCATATCTATGTATCCATATCTATGTCTATATAACTATGTATCTCTAAATCTGTATCTATATAACTATAATCTATCTCTATCTAATCCATATATCTATATCTACATACCTATCTCTGTATCTATATCTATACTTATATCTCTATCTATATATGTCTATCTATATCTATAGCTATGTCTATATCTCTATCTATAGCTATATGTACATCTACATGCCTATCTCTGTATCTCTACCTATATATCTGTATCCGTATCTCTATCTCTCTCTCTATCTCTATATCTCTATCTCTGTCTCTATATCATTTATATCTATATCTATATCTATATCATCTATATCTATATCTTTACCTATAACTATAGCTATAGCTATAGCTGTATCTATATCATCTATATCTACATACCTCTCTCTGTATCTCTGTCTCTACCTGTATCTGTTCTATATATTGATAGCTAATCCATATAACTATATACACCTATAACAGTATATCTATAACTGTACCTCTGCCTGTATCACCCGGAGCTGCAG